CTCAATTCAATATTTCATATCCCCGTATTTATATATTATTATAGGTAAACAAAAAAAAAAAAATCTGTGTAATAACTTAACTGTGAATTGATATGAATAAATATAAAAGTTACCTTGCATTCGCTATATAACAGTGGGGGGTGGTCACGAAGATGGCTGAGCAAATTTGATGCGTTTCCCCCTTTTGCAGCTACTTTCTTCTTGCAAGATCGGCAGACAGGGTGACCGTCCTCGATTAAATTGCCTTCAGGACTCTTGTAAAAGCCAAAATAACAAAATTAACATCAACTATTATTAATAAACACTGTATAAGTATTAATCATTGTTATTTTATGTTAACTAACTAATGTTAACAAGTGAGATGTATTGTATAGTGTCACCTAAATAGTTTTCCATACACTTATATGAAGGTTTAGTTTAAATTTTTTCTAAGACTGTCATTAGACTAAATAATTGCTATCTTGTAATTTGCCTTTAAAAAGCAGAAAGACAATGCAGTCATATTTGATAAATGTGTTAAATATTGTGTTACACATATTTAATAAATATATTAATTTAACATGCTACCTATGACCACCCTTCAAAATGCACTTTATAAAATATTTTTTCTCTCAAGTGCTCTGTGGACACTAGATTGAAATCCACCGAGGTCGTGTACTCTTAAACGATGACAAAATAGACCTTCGATATGTTGTGCTCCGACTTCAAAACATAAGTCAACACAAAGTATAAAATTATGTTTGTTTAACCGTTTTGTGGGGTCTTTAAAATAGATTGTTTTATTAATGATTGTAATGTGTTTTTTTCTCTTTTCTATTCATATGTCAGTTAATGTTTTAATGTTTACTCTCCACAGTGAACAAACATGTTCTGTTCATTGAGAAGAGGAAGATACGTTCTCTTTAAAAATGGGAGACTCTTTTGATACAGACACTGAGAACATTGACTTTTTAAAGTGTTACTGGCATAAAACAACTGCCACAGTGTGATGGTCAACATCCAACATATGAAAGTGTCACTAAACAACTATGAAGGAAGAAGATTTACATCAAAGTAAAGGTTTTGCATCACTGCAGCTGTGGATGACTGGTCTAATGAGACCAGAAATTAGTTGTATATCTTGTCAGGATAATATGTATTGTGTTGGATTTGTTTGGTTCTTTTTTCTTTTTTGTACCAAGTCAGAAGTTTGACCTACTGCAAACAATGAACCACCTACTCAATGACAGATTGCTTCAGGCTGAAGTGGATTTGTTGGAATAATTAGCCTGCAAAATGTGTTTAATAGAAAAAATGTTCATTAAAAAAAAAAAAAAATTTCAACCATTAGACTTGTACTTTTTGTAAATTGATATGATTTTACTTTATTTTCAGAGATATTTGAACAGCTTCAGGCTGAAGTGGATTTGTTGGAATAATTAGCCTGCAAAATGTGTTTAATAGAAAAAATGTTCATTAAAAAAAAAAAAAAATTTCAACCATTAGACTTGTACTTTTTGTAAATTGATATGATTTTACTTTATTTTCAGAGATATTTGAACATCATACCATTTACAAATAATGCCAGGAAATTACATTATCTAGAACTCTCCAGGAAAATGGTTTTGTTTATTATACAAACAATAATTCTGTGGACACTGTGCACAGATTAATGGTGTTGTTTTTAGGTCAAGAGTCACCTTCAGAACAGTTCAGTTGGCAGATCCTTCTGAAATGGAAAAGACGTTTGAGTGCCGACAGTTTGTACAGACACGGCTGCGACGAGGTTGGCTCTCCTGGCCATCTCTTCCAGCTGCATTGTGGGATAGTGGGCCATGTAGAAAGCCAGAGCGCCAATGAAGCTGTCGCCTGCTCCCTGTTAAGACATATTTTTTCAATTCAGTTTGTGGCATTTGAATTAATGCTCATAATGTGGAAAAGTAGAACACTTAACTTTTCATCACCACTTAGAGAAACAAATATGACAGCAGGGGGTGCCGTCTACTTTTCAATGCCAGTAGGTCCAAAGGTTTGTAACTTGCAAAAGAAATTTGGGAAACAAATGGCACCACAATGTACAGACTTTATTGAGTCAATCTTAAAATAAATATTAAACTACCAATTGTTCCGGATAATATTTAACGATGATGACATGACTTTAATTCTCTATTTGTGTGCTGAGTCATTTGTGTTTGCCGTTGTGCAATGCATGGTGAGTAAGTCTGTAGATGCTTACTTGGGCACAGGTCACGGGTCAGAGTGAAACAACACGCATGCTTTAAGCTTGCCTTGTCCTCTATCAGTGGTGTAGGGTCACCTCCTGTCTTGAAGTCTTTGTGAAGGTCTTCTGTTGTGAGTTGTGCACTTGCTGAGACCTGCAGTGTGACATTATTTGTGTGTGTGTGCATTTTTATTTACTTTCCTACTTCGTAATTACTCAGTGAATATTTATTGTTGGGTGATTCTCATGTAGCCTGACAATATGTCCAAGTCATGTCTAGACTCAAACTCAAAAGTACAAAATGTAATTCATTATGAAAATTATATAAAAATAAAACATCTATTTAAAAAGAGAGAGAGAGATTTAACCATATATATATATACAGTGGGTACGCACACACACACACACACACACACACACACACACACACAATAATAGAAGTCTCCCAGGCTCACCAAGGCTGCATTTATTCGATTACATTAATTATTGTAAAATATTACTGTTAATATTACAGTAAAAATAGTAATATTGTGAAATATTATCATTTTAAAGAACTGAATTCAATCTAAATCCATCTGAAACTAAAAATATATATGTATATATTTTAAGAAACTGACCAAGGGGAATTTTTGTTTATTTATTTAGGGACATTCTTTTTTCCAAGTCAGCAGTAATACACACTAAGCTGCCTTTATTTTATCTCCACTTGTATGAAATTGATAAGGACACTGGCATGTTTCAACATGCCTGCAGGGGGTAGACTGGGATCTTAGGGGGAGGGGTGATGTCGGGTGTTGAATTTATGATGGGAAAGCACCGAAGAATGCAATGATGTGCTCAGATTTAACCGCAGATCGCCCTGTCACTGGTTCTCACAAGTCTACCAGATTACTCATCTCAATGGCCCGCCTCTTAACCATCGATCCCTATTACACACCGCTGACTGTCCCTTCGGTCTCCATATAGCTAGCCACTAGGCCAAAGGCTGCAGTTGTCTAAACTCCCCTGCTGATTGATGACTGAATGAAGTGACCTATGCAGACAAGAATCCATTACAAAATGATCACAGTCCAGCTTTGCCCAATTTGGCGTAAGTCATGCATTTTGTCTGTTTGGGTGAATGGAAGAACATCTGCAATTGGACACATGGTGTGGTCATGAGGAAAGTTCTGGAAAAAAATTCTCATGGAATTTAGGTAATGTCTCCACCTTCTTCAGATGAAGGCTAAACCTTCCACCCACCTCTCTTACTCCAATAAGATTCAACAATGGTGATATTTTTGCTATAGGTCAATAAGTTGGTCATAGTGGCAGTTCCTACTTTTAAATGTATTGCTGGGCAGCACAACTATACATAGCTATTGAAAATAAAAATAATACAACCACATAATCATATGTACAGAGCAGTTCAGTTTGTAGTCCTAAAACCCGCAAGAGAGTTTGTTTCTTAAAAAAAATTAAATAAAATATGCTTCACATTACTTTAACATTAAACATACCTTAACCATAAACAAGTAGAATGCTTACAAGTTGCTAAATAAGGACAATAACTAGCACAAGGCTGTAAGTTTACTTGGTTTATGAATTGGACAACTGTTGCAGTCCTTTCAGCAGCTTACACAACAACAACAACAAAAAGCATCTTTAAAAATTTAATTTGAGGTATGACTACAATGTTATTGAACAAAAGGTGAAAGTAATGTTAACCACAGACCCTAAGATTCGTAAAACAAAAAACGCCATTCTAAAAACCTACAAGAATGGCCTACAAATTAACATCATGAACGATCAGCTACGTTGCCAACAAATATGCTATTTTGTTTCCACAAAGAATTAATTTTTTCTTAACTTTAATACAACCACGTTATATCACCGTGGTGACATAATGTGTTTGTATCAAAGTATATATATAGTGGAGCGTGTTAAAAATAAGTTTTCTTACTTAAACACCATGATGCAAAAACAACATAGCTTTCCAGTTCTTCATTAAAATGATCATCATGCAAGTGAGACTATAGTGTATCAGTGGTGACAACTACTACGACACATTCTGGTAAATGTTATATAGAGCTGTCTGTCAATCATATGACACATTTTGTCTTTTTTGTAGAATACAGATGAATTGTACATAATAAAACCAGTGGTCTTGGAGATAATAATGTGAACAAGGAAATTAATAGGATTGATTCTAAATGCATGATGAAGTCAGTTGTCAATGTGATATACTAAACTAACATCTAATTTGGTGCTAGTCCATGATTATGGCCATTGGAGTAAAAGCATGGGAAAACTGAATGGTCACCACAGTTGGAACAACATTTTATCACAACAATGTACATCTGCAAGTCCACTGGTTAAATACAGTAAAAGTCTCCAAAAACAATGGAAGGAGTGGATGACTCGCAGATGATGTGATCAAGATGGCATCCAGAAATTCAATGCCGAAAATGTCCATCCGTGGTAACTGAGTGAATGACCAGTGGGTGGGTTGCACAAAGTCAAAACATAAAGACAGCCTAACAAACACTGTTATTCTGTTGCGGATCACAAGCCATCAGAATTTCCAAAAGGTTGGTGTACCATAAAAAGTGTTTTTGAAGGCAAACCTAATGATGCTCCGAGAGACATACAGTACAACCTTCAATGTTTGTTGATGGTCAAATCTCTAATCTTTTATAAATAAGATGTCGTCTTGTGTCACCACAGCATATGCTGCTAGAATATGTTCCCTCAAAAGAATGGCTGCTGTCCAATGCGGCTCAGTGTGGGATCTTTGTGGGCTTCATTTACAGTCTCTTGGTGTGATGACATCAATGTTGGTTGGAGGCATGCAGTGTTTTCCGGTAAATACCCACCACCTTCTCCTGTAAAGATCCCTGTGGTGGGTCCTCTATGACTCTTTTCATAGCGGTCAAGTTTGGCTGATTGTGATTGTCTGAAACAACTACAACCCGTGTTGTCTGGCTTGAAGGCAAGGTTCTGGAATTGGGTTGACCTCCAAATGCAAGAGCACAGGCCACCCACAGTCCATCTGAACTGAGTATGCTGTAGGTTAGACAACTTGGTCTCTGTGAGCACACATACGTAGGCTACAGATAGAATCACTTATGAAAGGGTTGGTCAGTTTTAGATACATAAAGGCCTTTGTAAGATTTATAGAGGAAAGGGATTCATCTTAGAATGGGTGGGTAGCCACACAGAGGAAAACTACTTACTTATTTGCCCTTTCAAATTTACAATAGTGTCTGCCGTGCTTTTCATGTAATGCCATACCACACAGCTTTTGATCACAGAAGAGATGTCTAGCTGATGTGAAGCTGTAAAGACTGCCAAAAGATCCTTTTAACTTGAGATTGCTTCGATTCCTTGGTTGTGAGTTCACACCGGTGCTGTCCCTTTGAGATGTGTATAATGTCCCTATCTGGGAGCCAGAAGCTAAGTAAAAAGTTGGTAAACTTAGCAACCCACGCACCATTTTTCATTCATTTTCAAACAACAATAAAAACAATTAAGGCAGTCCCATCAACTCATCTGGCAGCCAACTCTCTTCTCAACCTCTGGGAACAACAAAAAGTTGAGAATTTCTAAGTGGCTGTTGATGGGTGGTCTTTCATGGCTTTGGCATGACCAATGAGCTAGCTGTTGTGAACACGGAACTCCTTCCCTTTTCAAATGCATGCTGAAGAACTGACAAGCCATAATGTCCACAACCCAACAAATGATTTAGTCAAAACTTTTTTGTGGCATCCTCTTTTCTTCCTCAGCAAACACAAAGGAGTATATCGTCAACACTATATCAAGACACCAGTTGTTGTCCATGACGTCTACGTGGTGCTTCTGTTCTTATTTCAGCGAACGTATTGACTTCTGGTTGCAAAAAGACTCTGCAGTAAGTGACAGAATCTATGTTTAAATGAATACCCCTCTTTCTCATCTAAATAAGTGACAGACCCAAAAGTGAGTACTTTCAGCAACAACAGATTAATGTGACATCCTGTTATCAAGGTCTTTCAAGTTGATCAGTGGGCATTTGGCTTAAGAAGTTACAAACAGACATATTTTTGGAATATTCTCATTTCTGTCCTAAACCATTGGTTGCTAAGTACACTCTTAAAAATAAAGGTGCTTCACGGTGCCATAGAATAACCTTTTTGTCTAAATGGTTCCATAAAGAACCTTTAACATCTGAAGAACCTTTCTGTTTCAGAAAAGGTTCTTTGTGGCGAAAGAAGGTTCTTCAGATTATAAAAAGGTAAGAAAGAGATGGTTCTTTAAAGAACCTTTGACTGAATGCTTCTTTGTGGAACCAAAAATGGTTCTTCTATGGCATCGCTTGAAAAACCTTTTGAAGCACCTTTATTTTTAAGAGTGTAGTTGTGTATGAGCTGTGGTGCAAACTGAGCCACATAAACAAAAAGACAGCATTCAATTCTTGCAATACCAGATTTGAGGCAATTTCATGCCTATTCTCTGAACAACAAGGGGTTGTTTAGTATGAAATACTCAGATTTGGTGACACTGCAGAAAACGCTGGATTCAGGCCAAGGAGCACAGAGCATCGCTGGGCTTCGTGACTCACACCACTATGCTCGGAGAGAACCATGGTAAACACTTTAACCTCCTATTGAATGTTCTTTAATGACTAAAGATAGTCC